GGAAGCCTGGCAAGTAGCACCCCCGCCCCCCAGGCTGGAGCCTTCTGTTCCCCTGAGGCCTCCTGTAAACTACTGAACCTGTCTGGGCCAGGTCTTCTTAAAAATGTGGCTGGCCCCTACTTCAAGGGTCGTTGAAGACATTACATGAGATAACATGAAAAGTGTCCACACAGAGCTTGGTAGATGGGTCTCGCTGGTGATATTTGCTCTTCTTATTTCATTCATTTAGTCACAGTAAACCCATGTCGCACTGCTCTTTGCCTTGTGTAAGTGGGGAAACCAAGGCTCAGAGAGGTTAAGCAATTTGTCAAAGGCCTCACAGCACACAAACCCCGCGGCAGAGCTAGGGTCCTATGTTGGCATGTCTGACTCCCAGTTCTGTGTTCTTTCTGGGTGAGGGTCACAGCACCCCTCCCCCAGACTCCTCACCCTTCTAACCACACCCCACCTCCTTTGTGTGTCCCCTCTCCTGGCCCCAATAAGCTCGTTCCCCCCGCCCCCCGCCACCTCTGGTGGGCCGTGCTCCCTTCTCCCGCACCCTGGTTCTGAGTTTCACGAGATAGGCCCTCACTAGGTTGGGTGCCAGGGGTGGGGCAGGTAGAGCCAAGGGGTGTGTGAGCCCCCCTAAATCCATGCCCAGAGCCAGAGCTCTCATCCTCCCTCTCTCCCTGTCTCCCCCCACCAGCGAGGCAGCTAAGGGTGCTGAGGCCTCTGGAGGACATGGCCATCGTTGAGGGGGGCAGTGCTACCTTCCAGCTGGAGCTGTCCCAGGAGGGTGTGACCGGGGAATGGGCCCGGGGGGGAGTCCGGCTGCACCCGGGCCCCCAGTGCCACATCCACGCAGAGGGCCACACTCACCGCCTGGTGCTCGGTGGCTTGGGCCTGGCCGACTCGGGCTGCATCTCCTTCACCGCGGACTCCCTGCGCTGTGCGGCCAGACTCACTGTGAGAGGTGCGGCCTCGGGGCCACACCACCTGCCTGCTGACCTCCTGGGTGTGACCCCACTGACCCCCCTCCCCGTGTGGCCCCCACTGACCATGCCTGTTCCAGTGTGCCTCTCACCGACCTCTCCGAGTGTGACTTCCCTGACCCTTGGGCCCTGAGTGGCCCCAGTGATTGCCCCACCTGAGTGTGGCTCCTCACCAGCATGATGCAGCGTGGCTCCACTGAGCCTCCCATCCCTGCGAACCACTGACTGTGCCACTGTGAGCACGCCCGCGCCAGTGTGGGCCCTCCTCCTGCCTGCCTGCCTGACCATGGCCCCACTGACTGCTCTGAATGTGACCCTGCTGACCACACCTGCCTGCTGCACCCCTGTTGCCTGCCTGAGCGTGGCCTTCTGACCACTCAAGTCCCAGTGGTACACTGTCTGTGCCCAAGGATGAATCCACTAGCAGCTCTGCTGGGTGTCCCCATCGCTGCTTCCAGCCCGGTGTGCTCCCCACTGGCCACACCTGTTCTAAGGTCCCCCTTGCTCCTCTGAAGCCATTGTGTCCCCCATGGTCCAAGGTCTCCTGTCCCTCCAGCCAAATGTGGCCCCCACTGGCCATGCCTGTCTATGGGGGATTCCGCTGGTATCTCTGCTCTGGCCGCCCCCCTCCCCCGCTGCTCCCATCTAGCAACAGCATGTCCCACACTGGCCACCTTCAAGTGTTACTGCCAGCTGGCCACTCCTGCCTCACTGACCACTGACCAGCATCCCCCTGGACCATTTGTCCCAGCACATCCCCCACTCACCAGTGACCTCCACACTGATGGCCTGGCCTAAGTGTGTCTACCACTGACCCTTGTGCCCATGCGTGTTCTCGTCCCCAGGGGCCAGGTCCCCATCCTGCCCTCACCCCTGCTCCCTCTGCACTGTCTTCCTCTCTCCCAGAAGCCCCAGTGACCATTGTGCAGGCGCCACACGACCTAGAGGTGACTGAGGGTGACACAGCTACATTCGAGTGCGAGCTTTCCCAGGCCTTGGCTGACGCTATCTGGGAGAAGGTCAGAGCCCAGCCCAGCCCACCTCAGCATCCTAACAACAGGGATAGCGCCCCAAACACACTAGAATACCGAGTGGGCATGCCTGGCCCTGAGCTCAGATTTGCTCTACATTCAATCCTTTAAACTTTACAACAACCCTTTGAGGTAGGTCTCCTTATTGTCATGTTACCTACAAGGAGGCTGGGGCTCTGTAGGGTGAAGTATTGCCCAGGGGAAGACAAAAGGGGCAGAGCCCATATTTGAGTCCAGATTTACCTAATAAATTCCAGAATCCACGCACCTGGCCAGTGTGGTTGGTACATGACCCTGGGCTTCCCGCGCCTGTGAAAACCCTTCTCAGCCCTATCGGGCTCAAAAGGTGACACCTTCCCAGTGAGGCATTTAGCTCAGTACTCAGGCGCAGAACGGCTCCATCCCAGCCTGGGGGACACAGACAAGTTTAAACGTCCCCCCCGAAACCTCTTGGCATCAACAGAGGGCGCCACCGCCTCCTAGGTCTGCGGCCGCCGGCTCACCACGACCCTCTGCCACTCCCACCCCTAGGACGGGCGCCCGCTCCTCCCAAGCCCTCGGCTCAGGCTCCAGGCCCTCGGTACGCGGCGCCTTCTCCAGCTGCGGCGCTGCGGCCCCTCGGACGCCGGGACCTACAGCTGCACGGTGGGGACGGCTCGCGCCGGCCCTGTCCGCCTGACCGTGCACGGTGGGTACTGGGTGCTTCTGGGGCCGGACACTACTGTGGGCTTGTGGGCTGCAGATCGGCCCTTCCCTGGGGCGGACTCAGCTGTTTCTTGGGAGAGGGGCGGGACGGGAGTCCCCCCTCGGCCCCCGTCCCGCCTCACGCCCACGGCTCCGCCCCAGAGCGGGTGGTCTCCGTGGTCTCCGAGCTCCAGTCGGTGAGAGCCCGCGAAGGCGACGGCGCCACGTTCGAGTGCACTGTGTCGGAGGTCGAGACCACCGGGAGCTGGAAGCTCGGAGGCCGCCCCCTGAAGCCCGGAGGCCGCGTCCGCATCCGACAAGAAGGTCTGGCCGACTTTCCACTGGTTCTGGCCCCGTGCTGCCGCGTCCGGGGTTCCCACAGGCCACGCCCCACTACGACAAGTCCCACCCTCAGTCCGAATGGGCCCGGCCCCCGAGCCAAAGAGCAGTCTCACTGTCTCTCCACTGGCCCCAGCTCTGAGCCCTCTGTCCTGGCCGGCTCCGCTTCCCCCTCGGCATCCCAATTCCGCCCATCCAATTCCGCCCCCCTGCCCTAGCGCATAGTTATCGCGTCCCAATCAACCGGGGAGGTGGGGACCTACTCCGGCCCCACCCGCATCTCCGATCCCGCCCCAGAGGCGGCTCCAGCCTCGCCAGCGCCCCCCTCATCCTCAGGGAAGAAACACATTCTGGTGCTGAGTGAGCTGCGCCCGGAGGATGCGGGTGAGGTCCGCTTCCAGGCGGGACCCGCCCATTCCGCAGCTGAGCTGGAGGTGGAGGGTAAGCAACTGCGGCGAGCGCTGCCTGGAGTGGGCGTCACTTTCCGTGGGGCCGGCAGGTTGGTGGCTGGTCCTGGGAAAGCTCCTTCCTCGAGGAGCTCTCTTGGGGCGGGTCACAGAGGGCAGTGCGTTTCCTGGGGAGGAGGGGACCCTGGGTTGAGGCTACAGAGTAATGGGCCTGTAGCACAGAGATCTGCAACCAGGAGTTGAGGACGCAGGGGGAGGGAAGATGCGTTTTTCCTTCGGGCGGGTGGGGGTCCTGCGTCTTCTCTTCCAATTAACTTAAGACCTCGGCCTCCACCCCCAGCACTGCCTCTCCAGATGTGCCGCCGCCCGCCTCGAGAGAAGACGGTGCTAGCGGGCCGCCGGGCGGTGCTGGAGGTGACGGTGTCCCGCTCAGGGGGCCACGTGTGCTGGTTGCGGGAGGGGATGGAGCTGTGTCCGGGAGACAAGTACGAGCTGCGCAGCCATGGCCCCACCCACAGCCTGGTCATCCATGACGTGCGACCCGAGGACCAGGGCACCTATTGCTGCCAGGCCGGCGAAGACAGCGCCCACACGCGGCTGCTGGTCGAGGGTGAGTGGAGCCGACTAGGGCAGGCGGGCTGGCCAAGCAGGAGTGGTCCGAGACACACCCACCCAGGTTTCTCAGGACTTGGGATAGCAAGATGGTTCTGGAGTGTCTTGAAGGTAGGAGGGGGGGAGGCCAGAGATCTCACCCAGGCGAAGAGAGGAGGGAGCTCTGGTCTCAGCCAGAACCACTTGGTTCAGGCAGGGCAGCTGTTCCCACCTTTCTACACCCCTTCCTGTCCAGAGTTCCCCTCTCTCCCTCCCGTCCCTGGACCACGTTCGTGTTACCTGAGCACCCCATCTGTACCCAAGTTCCTATCCTTCCCGATGCTTCTGCTTCGTGCCCGCCACCTGTCCCTCACCCCCCTCCTGCTCTCTGCCGGCCTCTGCCCACCTCAGGGAGTTCAGCGTCAGCCTGGGCGGAAGGCTTCTGAGCTAGTCCCGTTTCCTTTCTTTCCCACGTAGGAGATGCCCCGCCCTCCACCCTGATCCCTGCATACCCTAACCAGCCCCCACTTCCCTGCCCCAAAGACAGCCTCGACACAGGCCCAGCACGGGTGGGGCAGAGGGTGAGGGCCCCACTCTTCCCGTGTGGGTGCCCAGCCTCTGCCAGGGAGGAAGGTGGTACCCACTCTCTCCCCAGCCCCACGCGGAGTCATTCCTCTGCAGGTAGCTAGAAGGACCGAACCAGGCCAGGCGGGTGCCCTCGGACAGCTTGGAAGGCGCATGCCCTTATGCCGGGCAGGGGTGGGGAGGCAGGGGAACCAGAGGTGATGGGAGACAATAAAAGTGATGCAGCCCCTGTCCCTGGCTCTCTGTGTGGCGGAGGAGGGCAGAACTGGCCTGGGGGCCCTGTGCAGTGAGTGACGCAGGGAAGCGAGAACTTTGGTGCTTCTAGTTTGGCCCATGGACGTGCCAGCCACCAGAGACCACCACTCCTGGTAGAAGCCGCACAGTTTGGCACATTTATAAAAGATGTAAAACAGGGTGGGGCAGAGGGAGACAGAAGCATGAGGTGTCCAGGGTGGCATGACAGACACCAGACATGCATCGTGCATTGAAGCCCCCTCCCCCGAGGTCCCCTCCGCAGCCCAGCCCAAAGCAGCACCCCCCACCCCCATCCCCTGCCACTGCCCTCGGGCTAGTGGCTTTACAGAGGACAGGGGACCAGGGTAAGGGCTGCTGCAGTGGACGAGGACAAGAAGCCTCGGATGAATCTCGTTAGGAGGCAGAGCAATGGGAGAAGGCAGACCTCCTCCACTTAGACATGCGGGAGAGCGGCTCGTGGGACCCCAGCAGTGGGAGAGGAGGTGGGGCCAACCTTGCAGAAGCCCTACCAATCAGAAATCTAAGGCAAGTGTCCCAGTGTCCCCTCCAAGCCCACCCTTCCATGCACACGCACACACAGGTGACACACTCACAACCCTGAGCACACCCCAAAGGGGCTCACACCCCGAGTCCCCCAGGAGCCCCTTGGGAGCTTGGGAGGGGCCTTTCCCTCGGGCCAGGCCTGGCCTGAGACAGGTCCTCCCTTCCAGCAGCCAGGCCAGTCTTCTCCAGGGAGGGGAGAGGGACAGCCACGGGCCACAGGGCCGGGAGGGCCGGGTGGTGGACCAGCAGGCCACCCCAAGCTAACAGAGCTGGTGAGCACAGAGTCCTGGCGGGCAGGAGCAGCTGTACTGCTATACCCGCACGGGGGGCCCTACACAGGCAGTCAGTGGTCCCCGGGACCCGTATTCATAGTCCGTGTCCGTGGGTGAGGCCATGAAGGAGCTCAGCGAGCTCCCTGTCTGCCGGTCCCGGAAGCTCTGGATGTAGCTCTGTGGGAGAGGAAACGCAGGTGTGAGAGGAAACGCAGGTGTGAGTGCAGCCGCAGGCCCCTGCCCTGGGGGCCACCTCAGGCAGAATCCTCTCCCTGCAACCCACAAGCCCGTGACTCCCCCCAGGCAGCTGTAGGCCCAGACCTCCTCACGCTCACAGTCCACAGCCCGAGGCCCTACCCCGTACCATACACCTCATTAAAATCCTTACTCAGACACCTCTCCCCCATCCCGCAGCGGGGCCCATCAGCCTCCTGGTAGAGGGGTTCTGATGGGTGGACAAACGCTAAGCCTTCTAAACACTGACGAGCCGCTGGGGAAAGCCCAGTCCTGCTTGGACAGAGCTTACAGCACTCCCTGGTCCCCCGTTCGGACTGGAGGGGCTCGGAGTGCTCACCGGGGAGAGGACATCTCCATTGAAGCGTTTGATGGGCACTGGCCTGCGCCGATACGCAGGGTCAGGAGGTCCGGGCCTTGGAGGGGCCCGGGGGCCTCTGGAGGGAGCCCTCGGGGGTCTCTTCTTGCGCCGCTTCTCCTTGCGCTCTTCCTGCTGCCTTATCCGCATCAGCTGCACCCGGCGTCGCTGCCGGCTGATGACCACTGCGAAGGGGCGGGCAGGGAAGGGTCTCAGAGGCCCACGGGCACCATCCCCACCCTTCCCAGCCCGGGGTTCCAAGCGTCCAGATTCCCCCTGTGTGTGACCTCCCCACTTTTTGCTCCTGGTCTTCACCTCCCAGATGGGACTTCCACTGATATTCGCCTCTGAAGGTCTTTAAGGAAGATTCCTAGAGCTGTAGGTAGTCCCCCTAGCCCCCGAGCTGCCGTCCCCTCCCGGACATCGCCATCTCTCAATTGGACAACCGCCGCTGCCTCCTCACCGGGTTCCCTGCCACGCTCGCCTTCCCCAGTGCCTTTTACACTCAGCAGCCAGGATGAGCATCCCAAACGCTAGACTAGATCACATCCCTGCTGACAGCCCCACTTCCTCTGCAAGACACGCCCTCTTCTTCTCGCCCTGCCCCCTGCTATTCCCCTTTCTCTAGCTCTTTGCATGGCTGGTCCTTTACCCTCCAGGACTCTACCTAAATGTCACCTCTTGGACGTGCCTTCCTTGAGCACCCTGTCTGTGACAGCCTCGGAAGGAAACTCGTATTACCCAGAGTATCTCTTGCGTATCACTCTGCACAACTGGAATGATCTTGTCTGTTTGGATGTCTATTACCTGTCTGCCCGTGCCCCCCGGCAAACCTAACCCCGTAAGGGCCAGAGACTTTTCCTGTTTTGTCTCTGCGGTCTGTCCAGCTCTGGAACGGCTGCTGCTCCATATGGTGTTGTGGAATGCGTGGCACCGCCGAGGTCCTATCTTCCCAGACCACGAGCCAGTCACCTCTCTAATCCCACTGCGGCCTTCCGCTGCTAGTGTGCACGGCTTCTTCTCCCACTCCCGAACTGCTCACCGCTGCCACCACCCCCACCCTCATTTCTCTCATGCCCACCCGGGTCAGTGCCCTCTCACCTTCCGTGTGGGAGTCCCCCTCGGCCGTCACCCTCCACTGCACCAGAACACCCATCAGGCTGAGCAGGGGCCAAAGCGCCAGCAGGGCCCAGCTCCGCCAGCAGAGGGGAGGCACAGGGGCGGCCCGCAGCCGCTCCACGGCGTAGCGCCCCAGCAGCAGCAGCTCAGCAAAGTAGTCCGCGGCGGTGGCGATGAGTGCGGCCCCAGTCACAGCCGTGGCCAGAGTGGTGAGAGGGCGGGGCCAGCGCAGCGTGAGCAGGGCGCAGAGCAGGCCGCCCCCCAGCAGCAGCCCCAGGGGGCCCCACACGGAGCCGGGCTGGTAGTAGGGCGCGGAGCCCAGCAGGGCGGCAGCGGCGAGCAGCAGGCCGAGCAGCAGCCCCACCAGGAAGAGGCCCACGCTGCGCACCAGCATGGCCACCAGCCCGCACAGCAGCCCGATGCCCAGCGCGATGCCGGCGCTCGCCCCGGCACTCAGCTGTGTCTCCAGCACCCGCTCTCGGTAGCACAGCAGGAAGATGACCACTGAGCCAAACAGCAACCCAGTGAGGAAGAGCACTGCCTTGAAGCAGCGGTAACCTAGAGGGGAACAGGGGCTAGTGAGGGGCCAACATGAGGTCACCGGGAGGGAGGCAAGGAGTCTGAGGGGTCAGGAACACGGAATCACAGAGGAACCAGAGGCAGGGCACTAAGATAAGAGAATCGGGGGCCACTGGGGTCCTGAGGGCACCAGTGATGGGGCTGCTGGGGTCAAGGGAGGCCAGAGAGATGGGTCAGCAGGAATCATTTGGAAAACGGAGAGACAGTCACGGAAATGCATGTCGGGTCTTTGAGGGTTAGAGGAGTCAGAGATAGGTCACTAGAGTCAAGAGTGAATCAGTGGTGGGTCACTGGGGTCTTTGGAGTCCTAGGAGTCAGACGAATAGGTCACAGGGTCAGAAGGGGAGCCGCAGTGGGGTCATTGGGGTCTGTGGGGAGGGACTGTTCAGAGAGAGGAGCTATTTGGAAGTCAGAAAGAATTTGAGAGATGAGGGTCACAGGGGTTCAGAAAGACAAGGTCTTGGAGGGGTCACAAGGCTTCAGAGACATGACATCATGAAAAGGTTACAAAGACAACAGGGAATCAGGGTCATTAGGGACTGGCTCCAAGAGATGAGGTCTTTGCCGGTCAGGGGGACTGGCAGGCTGGAGTCACTGAGAGCATGAAAGAGTTTCAGAGAGAGGGTGGTATTGAGACCAGATAAATGGGATCCCTGAGATCACAGTGGGGGGAGGGCCAATCAGGCAATGAGATCCTAGGAATCAGAGAGTTAGGAGAAATGGAGTCAGAAGAATAAAAGTTGATGAGATAACTGGGCCGGGGGTCACTAGGGCTTACAAGGGGTCACCGTCCCCCATAGGGGGTCAAAGAGGATTATAGGGTGAAATAGTGGTGGTGGAGTTCCAGGAAAATGAAGTTACAGGGCCACTGGGCCCTTTAAGGGTACCTGGGAGAGTGAGGGGCTTGTAGATCCTAAGCAGTTGGGAGGATGGGGGCAACGGGTCAGGGAGAGCCAAAGAGAAAGGTCAAAGGGGAGACTCAGCTCTAGGAATGAGGGGAAGCCTCAGCATCCAGGAAGTTCTGGGGTCAGAAAGAGGAGAAGGGCATGCACCAGGGCTCAGAGTCCAAGGGCCAGGGAGCGGGAGCGTTCAAGAGGGTCGAGGTGACAAGGAAGCACAGGAGAGGGAATGTCAGGATGCGATGAGCAACTGCAGAGGGCGTGGGTACGGACAGGGGAGGGAGGGAGGTGACACAGCCTCTGTGGAGGCCCAGAATGCATCCTGAGCCCTTAGAGGGGCACTTTCTTCTGCCCACTCTGCAGTTGTTCCGCCAAGCGTTTGGGGGTGGAAAGAAAAGGACCATCTGGCTCCCATTCCTGCCTACTACCAAGCCACTCTAGGGCGGGGTGTAGAGGCAGCAGAGCAAAAGTCTTGCCCCACCTCTGCCCAGCCTGCAACCTAGACCTGCACACTTCCTCTGCACCTCTCCCAGCCACTTACAATGTACCTCTGGAGGCTTTCCTTGGACCCCCAGCCGATGGAGCTTGCTCTCCTCTCTGAAGCTCTATAACTCTTGCTGTAGAGTCCCTGGGCACTTACTCCACTAGTCCACCTGGCACCTTTGTGCAAATTAGAAAAAAATGTGCCATCCTCTAAGCAAAACAGCCCAGTGCCAAGGCCTAGAGTTCGGCTGGATGTCAGACCCACTTGCCCATTCAACTGAACTCCCTTGTATAGTAGCCGCCCTGTACGACAGTTCACGGCAGCCCTGATTACTGGAGCCTCCCTTGTGGGCGACCTTCATGTGTGTGACTACCATCTAGCTGACTACTCTACAGCTGACCCTTGCACAACACAAGTTTGAACTTCACGGGGCCACTCATGCATGGATATTTTCAGTAAATATACAGTCAGCCCTCCATATGCCCAGGTTTTAATGCACGAATTCAACTGACTGCAGGCTGAAAACAGTGTGGGGGGTCCATGGTTGGGAATCTGCAGGTGCTGAGGACCAGCTTAAGTTATACATGGATTTTTTACTGCACCCCAGCCCTTATGTTATTCAAAGGTCAGCTATAACATGTATCACAGGCGTGAACATTCCAGCAGTCTCTCCCCCATCTATACTTAGCATATCTAATTGCCCTGCTAAATGTTTTCATTTTCTAGCTAGCACTGCAACCCAAACACGTCTTCACCACAATAGCTATTATTTATTGAGTCCCTACTACTTCTCACAACAACATTATGGGAGGTAAATATCGTTGTTCCCACTGTTCAGATGAACAGACTGAGGCTCAGGCAGGTTAATGTGCCCAAGACATCACGATTAGTAAGGTCAAAGCCAGGTTCAGATTGAAGCATGCCTAATTCAAAAGCCTGGTTCTCTGGGATCTAGTGTCTAAGATGATCTACAAACATGTAGGATGAAAGAAAGTAAGAAAAGATAGTTATTCGTGCTAGCAGTAGTGGTGGTGGTGGAGGTGATGGTTGTGGTGGTGGAGGTGATGGTGGTAGTGGTGGTGGTGGTGGTGGTGGTGGTGGTGAAGTTCTGGAGGTTTGGGGTGCCTCAGAAAAGCAACTCAGGGAAACAATGGGGAACTCAGGTGAGGAATGAGTTGGGGGTCTCACCGAAGAAGCAGTAGACGACTCCAAACAGACAGCACATGATGCAGACGAGAGCCGGCAGTGCCTCGTACCTGCGCTCCAGGGGCTGTTCACAGGGTGCACCCCAAAAGGCATCATCTGGCTCAGGGGGCAGCAGCTGGAACCGTAGTGTCGCCACAGTGCCTGGCATAGTGCTAGGAACGAAAGGGACTCACCCTCCCAGGTCAGCCTGACAGAGAGGAAGCTGGAGTCAAGGAGGAGCCCTGGGCCTCCACCAGAATGGGGCAAGAATGGGAGTGGGAGAGCTAAGCAAGGACACACCGGACAAAGGAGTGGTGCCCACAGCAGGCATCCCTAAAGTGGAGGACAAAAGACAAAGGGAACAAAAGTACCTGGCTAGAGGGGGCCAGGATGAAGAAGTTAAAAGGGGAACTGGCTTGGGGGGAGATGAGGGCAGTGTGCTGCCAGTGAGGAGGCAGCCAGGAGACTCGTCTGTGGGCGGCTAAATCCGGGATTGTCCAAAATCTACCTGGGCTGGAGGCGACCTGAGCTTTTGAGTGAAAGAGGCTGTGCAGAGGCCGTAGGGTCCGGGGCTGAGGGGCTCCAGAGGCCCCAGATGCCTGGGGTCCGGGCAAAGTCCGTCGTGCGGGGAAGGCGGCTGCTGGGCCGAAGGGACCAGTCTCTGTGCGGCGGTGGCGCCGCCCCGCCTCCCACACCGACTGGCACTCCAGTCCCACGGCGTCCGGGGACTCGCGCTGGGCCTGGGGAAGGGAAAGGAGCGAGAGCAGGGGCTCGGGCTGCCCCAGAGCCGCGGCCCCATGCCCTGAGCCCGCCCGCGGCCTTTGGTGCTGATGGACAGCTCCGGCCTCTGCTCCTGACGTCACTCAGGCGCACTAGCCAGGCAGGGGCGGGCTGCTTCTGACGTCACCCGGGACGCACCAACCACGCCGGGGGGAGGTAGGGGACTCCGCCCCGGCGTCTCTCTCTCACTCGCTGTGGAGGGGGCACTTCCGGGGGTCCTTCCCCTTTAACCTCCCCCTACTCCTCCCTCTCCGGTAGCTGGAGTCCAAGACCCCACCCCGGGGGCGGGGCCCTCGCAGTGACACGTCGGACAGCGGCTGCAGCGGCGGAGGCTCCCGCACCCAAAGCAGGACCCTGGGCGATACAGAGCGGCGGCCGGAGGGGGTTTGGAGCGCGGAGCAGGGAATTCGGCTCGGGCCGCGGGCTCTGCTCAGCGGGGCGGGAGCGGGCCCGCCCGCTTGGCCCGGGCCCTCCGGATACGCCCCCTCCCCGGTCCCGCCCCCTCGGAGCCTCCTCTGGCTGCTCCGGGGCTGCTCCAGGGCCGGGGGCCCGCGGTCCCGGCGCCATGCGGGCATCGCTGTTGCTGTCGGTGCTGCGGCCCGCAGGGCCCGTGGCCGTGGGCATCTCCCTGGGCTTCACGCTGAGCCTGCTCAGCGTCACCTGGGTGGAGGAGCCATGCGGCCCAGGGCCACCCCAACCCGGAGATTCTGAGCTGCCGCCGCGAGGCAACACCAATGCTGCGCGCCGGCCCAACTCAGTGCAGCACGGAGCGGAGCGCGAGAGACCCGGAGCTGGCGCAGCCGCGGCGGAGAACTGGGAGCCGCGTGTCTTGCCCTACCACCCTGCACAGCCTGGCCAGGCCGCCAAAAAGGCCGTCAGGTAAGGATCAGTCCCGCCAGCTCCACCCCGTGGGCACCAGCGGGGACGGGCGCTCTGGGGAAGCCGCCGGGGGCCGGGTCAAGCTCCGGAAGGAAGAGACTAGGCGGCCAGGAAGTCTTTGGGCCCAGATAACTTCCGATGGCCTTGCTTCCCGGGGAGCTGCGGAGTCCATCTGAGGCCCTGTCTGGGTCCCGTCTGGCCTGGGCCGAACTTGTCCGCCTCTGTGCTAAACCAGCTCGACTCCATGATCCCCCAAAGATCCTCTTAGCTTCCTGACTAAGCTGCCGGGTTTAGATAAAATATTGGTATATAAAACGGGTTTAAAGAGAGAGGGAAAGAAAAAAGAGAGAACTGAGGCTTACCTGTATCTGTCGTTCCTGGGTGGGACACCTCGTGATGAGTGTGTGGGAGAGGAGTGACAGAGCCACCCCACTAATGCCACTGTCTAGTTAAAAGAATTTCTCCTAAGTAACACTGAGTTCAAATTCCAGTTCTGCAATTTACCTTCTGTGTTGTGGTCGAGAAGTTACTGGAACTCCTGAGCTCCAGTGTGCCCCTCCCCCAAACACACTCAATACACCCCCTATGTCATGTATTCCATTACATCATCTAGGTAATGTATTTGTGGTGTAATGGCATATTTACACAGAAATAAGCCCTGTATGCGTGGTGTGTAGAATACCTGTGAGCCAAGCATTTGCCTAAGTGTTTTAAGTAAATATAATCAACCCCATTTTTCAGTTGTGGCTCCTGAGGCACAGATAGGTTACATAGCTTGCTCAAGGACACAACTAAGTCGTGAAACAGGGAATCAGACACACAATATGTCTTTCATATCTGCATGAATATTGCCATCTCCCCCAAAACACTGATCTTTCACTTAATTCCGCATGACCCCTGGGAGGGAATTGTTATTCTTATCCTAGTCCTGCCCACCCTGATTATCTTTTTGATCATCTCATGCTGTCTCCTCCCCAGAACCCGCTACATCAGCACCGAGCTGGGCATCAGGCAGAGGCTGCTGGTGGCAGTGCTGACCTCACAGGCCACACTGTCCACTCTGGGCGTGGCCGTGAACCGTACGCTGGGGCACCGGCTAGAGCGTGTGGTGTTCCTGACAGGCTCTCGAGGCCGTCGGGCACCACCGGGCATGGCTGTGGTGACACTGGGCGAGGAGAGACCCATCGGCCACCTGCACCTGGCACTGCGCCACCTGCTGGACCAGCACGGGGACGACTTTGACTGGTTCTTCCTAGTGCATGATACCACCTACACGGAGGCGCACGGACTGGCGCGCCTCGTTGGCCACCTCAGCCTGGCAGCTGCTGCCCATCTGTATCTGGGCCGTCCCCAGGACTTTATCGGTGGAGATCCCGCCCCAGGCCGCTACTGCCATGGCGGCTTTGGGGTACTGTTGTCGCGTACTCTGCTGCAGCAGCTGCGCCCCCACCTGGAAGGCTGCCGCAATGACATCGTCAGTGCAAGTCCAGATGAGTGGCTGGGACGCTGCATCCTTGATGCCACCGGGGTGGGCTGCACTGGCGACCACGAGGTGAGAAGTGAAAAGATAAGCCGCCCCACGGGTGCCTCCTATCTGAGCTTGTGCATGTCCCCCGAGAAACAAAGGGGTGGTTGGAGATAGGGGCTTGGGTTTCCATGCCAGCTCTATCCTTTTCCATCCCTGTGACCTTGGGTAAATTACTGAATCTCCTGAGTGTCAGTATCTTCATGCCAATGGAAATAATTATTGCTTAGGGTCATTACAAGGATTAGAAAAAATGAGGGAGCCTTGCACATAATGGGTGTTCAGTGTTTGGCTATTACTATTTTATTTGAGCCCCTGGACAGCTCTGAGACCGAATGCATGCCCATTTTACAGGATGGGCTAGTTAGCAAAGGCTTCCCCGAGGTCATACAAGCTCATGACTGGTTAAGGTCCTTAAACCCACAGAATTCTGACTGCGCGTCCACAACAGGTCCTAGGAGGGGTAGGTGAGACACATGCTCTGAGGCGAGGGTAGAGGCTGTTCCATCGTTCTTCCCATTGTGGACCCTTTCCCTTCCTCTCCCTAGGGAGTCCATTATAGCTACCTGGAGCTGAGCTCTGGGGAGCCCGTGCAGGAGGGGGACCCTCGCTTCCGCAGCGCCCTGACCGCCCACCCTGTGCGTGACCCTGTGCACATGTACCAGCTGCACAAGGCTTTTGCCCGAGCTGAACTGGAACGCACGTACCAGGAGATCCAGGAGTTGCAGGTATGGTCTGGGCTGGGGTGGGGAGGCAAGTCCCGTGAAGTCTTAGAGATCCCAGGCGAGTAAACTCTGAGTACTAGAGTTAGAACACACCTGCCTCCTGTCCCTGTTTGTTCCTGCCTATCCTGAGAAGCCCCGCCATAAACCCCCGTGTTAACTCTCAGGCTGCCTGCATCTGGGGAAGGGATAAGTAGAGGCTCTGAGAAGGCAGAGGTTGGCAGGGGACGGGACCCATCCTGAGTGGCACCTGCCACTTGCCCCATCCCCAGGCTGTGTGCTGGCCCCTGGGGTCTGTACCTTGCTCACGGTCTGTTTCTCCAACCCAGTGGGAGATCCAGAACACCAGCCGTCTGGCAGCTGATGGGGAGCGGGCAGCCGCCTGGCCTGTGGGCATTCCAGCACCATCCCGCCCAGCCTCCCGCTTCGAGGTGCTGCGCTGGGACTATTTCACTGAGCAGCATGCTTTCTCCTGTGCTGATGGCTCACCCCGCTGCCCTCTGCGTGGGGCTGACCGGGCTGATGTGGCCGACGTTTTGGGGGCGGCCTTGGAGGAGCTCAACCGCCGCTACCACCCAGCCCTGCGGCTCCAGAAGCAGCACTTGGTTAACGGCTACCGACGCTTCGATCCCGCCCGGGGTATGGAGTACACACTGGATCTGCAGCTGGAGGCGCTGACCCCCCAGGGCGGCCGCCGGCCCCTCATTCACCGAGTGCAGCTGCTGCGGCCGCTGAGCCGAGTGGAGATCCTGCCGGTGCCCTACGTCACCGAGGCCTCACGCCTCACCGTGTTACTGCCTCTGGCTGCGGCCGAGCGTGACCTGGCCCCTGCCTTCCTGGAGGCCTTCGCCACTGCAGCTCTGGAGCCTGGCGATACCGCGGCAGCCCTGACCCTGCTGCTGCTGTATGAGCCACGGCAGGCCCAGCGGGCTGCCCACGCAGACGTCTTCGCCCCTGTCAAGGCCCACGTGGCAGAGCTAGAGCAGCGTTTCCCCGGTGCCCGGGTCCCCTGGCTCAGCGTGCAGACAGCCGCCCCCTCACCACTGCGCCTCATGGATCTGCTCTCCAAGAAGCACCCGCTGGACACACTGTTCTTGCTGGCCGGGCCGGACACGGTGCTCACGCCTGACTTTCTGAACCGCTGCCGCATGCACGCCATCTCTGGCTGGCAGACCTTCTTTCCCATGCACTTCCAGGCCTTCCACCCGGCGGTGGCCCCACCGCAGGGCCCAGGGCCCCCAGAGCTGGGCCGGGACACGGGCCGCTTTGACCGCCAGGCAGCCAGTGAGGCCTGCTTCTATAACTCTGACTATGTGGCAGCCCGAGGGCGGCTGGCAGCGGCCGCGGAGCAGGAGGAGGAGCTCCTGGAAAGCATGGATGTGTACGAGCTGTTCCTGCGCTTCTCCAGCCTACACGTGCTGCGGGCGGTGGAGCCGGCGCTGCTGCAGCGCTACCGGGCCCAGACGTGCAGCGCTCGGCTCAGCGAGGACCTCTACCATCGCTGTCGCCAGAGCATGCTGGAGGGCCTGGGCTCCCGCACCCAGCTCGCCATGCTGCTCTTCGAGCAGGAGCAGGGCAACAGCACCTGACGCCACCCTGCACCCCAAAACCTTGGCCTGTCGGTGCTTTTCCCCCAGCCACCCAGGGCCACCTGCCAGCCTCCCTGGACAGCCTCAGACTCCAGAACAGCCCGCTGGCCCCCTCTCTCTGGCTTTGTGGGTCCTCAGGCTCAGCACAAGCCCTGTGGGAGGTGCCCTGGGAGCCACCCCTTCCCGCCCCGGATCCCGGCCCCTGACGCTGCTGATTCAAGCTGTGGCCTCAGTATTTATGTAGTGCAGTCTGTCTGACGCCAGGCCTGCCTCCGAGTCCTGGGGGCTGGGCTGTAGATGACTTGTTGGGGAAGGAGGGAGCTAAGAGAGGAGTGCGGGTGTCTCCCAGCTTCTCCCTTCTGGACCCCTGATGGAGCTCTCTGCCTTGAATAAACTGGCTGAGTGTGGACTGGTGATTCTGAGTTTTTGAAAGCTAGGCAGGGAGCAGGGAGGGCTGGCAGTGAGGATGGAGGCTCCCTGTCCTCCCTGGGCCTGGATTTCCTTTTCCCAGGGAGCACATCGTGCATACACCCAGCCCTGCCCCAGCTTGGTCACACACACACACACACACACACACACACACACACGCAGAGAATTCCTTATGCCTCTTTATTCCTAGTTTCATCAGCACTTTATAAAGCCAGACTGGAGACAGAGGCCTGAGAAGACTTTCCCACTCCCAAGCTCAGCCAGGGTCTGAAAGGCCCGCCTGCTCCCTGTGGAGGGGGCTTGGGGGGCGGGGATCGGGCAGGGGAACCCGAGCTGGGCCAGGCCTGCTGGGCCACCCGCTCCCCCTGCCAGATGAGGAGCTGGGCCTGGAGAGGGGCAGGGAGTAGGAGAAGCCCAGCAGTCCCGACTCCTGGGAGCCCGCCCTCCCCTGCTGACACTCTAGGGCTGGGACCCTGGCCGTCCCTGAATCACCCACCCCATGGTCCCACCCACCTTCTATATCTGTACCCCCACCCCCACCCTGTCCTCCCTAAATATATACAAATGTACACAGGGTTCCACCCCTTCTGGGGCTTCTCCACCTCCCTCTCTTCTCCCCTTTCCCCTCCCTGGGGGCCCATGGCCTGCTCTCCAGCCTCCCTGGGCACCAGCCTCAGGAGGGGAGTAGGGACAAGAAGGACCCTTGTGCAAAGCAGCTGGTGCCACGGTTGGTGAGGAGAGGGACTGAGTCTCTGTTCTAGTGAGCACCACTGCCCTCCCCCCGCCACAGCCTTGGGCTGCCCCCGGGGCCTTCTGTCCCAGGAGCAGGAAGATCCAGGGAGGAGTCCCAGACTCCTGGGTCCTTTCAGATACAGCATCATCCTAGCAAGCGAAGTCTTCAAAGAGGCCTCCTGGGGGGCCGTGCGGGTGGTGATGGTTGGGGAGCAGGTTGCCGGCTCCCCCACCTTCAGCCTGACCCCGGCCTGGACAGGGACTCTGCAAGGTGAAGCGGGAGACTTCAAACCACACCCCCAAGGCTTGTACAGCCAGCCTTCCCGTGTCCCTGGGGCAGAGGCTCCAAGGGGGCCAGGGACCCCGTCTCGTGGGCCAGTCCAGAAATCACCAGGGCGCTCAGTCCTGGGAGAAGGAGCTGGCTGCTCGCCCTGCAGGCTCACCCTCACCTGCTCTTTCAGCTCCTGCAGTCCCAAGGTGGAGATGCCCCCCGTGGAGGTCCTCAGGGGGGTCTTGGGACGACGCCACACCCGCTTCAGTCGGTCCCAGGACACCTTGGGGTTCAGGGTCAGGGCACAGCTGTGGGCTCAGGAGACTTGGCAGAGGGGAGGGGCAGACTCACCAGACTCACGTTATAGGGCTTGCTGCCCAGCCAAGCCCCGCTGGGACCCCTGGTCCTCTCCACCCATCCCTTTCTCCTGACCTCCCAGAGCCCTCAGACCTCCCGGTCAGCCAGGGGACTCGGGCAAAGGACCCAGAGCCGGACTTCCCAGCTAGACCGGCTCCACCAGGAAGCCTGCACTGCCCCTCTGCTTTTCTCAGAGCCCCTCCCCCTCCTCGCTGTGTGGGGGGCTCCAAACAGACCCCTTCCTTGCCTCATAGATGTAGTCCAGGATTTCCAACAGTGTGAGGATGCTGGCCCCGATGAATAGGCCCATCTGTCCCCCGAGGTCTCCTGGGGCGCATGAGAGCAGGGTCAGAGGGAGCAGGCCCAGCGGGCCCACACCCACGGAACCTGGGCCAGGTCTCACCCAGCAGGGCTGACAAGCCATAGGCTGCTCGCTGCTCCATGGCCTCGGAGGTCAGGGCTTCAAAAAAGACATCCAGGACGAGGAAGTTCTCCCTGCGGAGAAAGGAAGCGGGATGTCCACGTGAGACCACCTTCCCAAGGGGGTGGCTGGCAGGCACACCCCAGGGCCAGAAGTGCCTATCCGAGACCCCCTGTGCAGGGAAGCGGGTGGCTCCCCTGCGACTCCCAAAGGCTGTGAGGGGAGTTGGTCCCAGGTGTGCATTAGCATCACACTCTGAAGGTTAGCAAAGGGCCTGGGAGAGAGAAAAAAAAAAAAAGCCTGAGCCTGCAGTTTCCCGCCTGCCTTCCCTAAAGCAGCAAATAGTGTTCATGTTCCTCACCCCTGTACCTCTCTAGAACTTTCAATGGCTCCCTATGGCCAAGAGTCCACTCCAAAATTCTTCTCCCAGACTTCCAAGGCCACCCATGATCTGTTGCATTGTCTGTGCCTTCCTATCCAAGCTGCCTTCTTATCCGCATCTCAACCCCCCGCACCCCCTCCCCCCACTCAGGCCAGTCTCCACATCATCCCACAGCTCTCTAACTGGGATGCCTCCCCTCTCTCCTCTGTTCTCTTCCCCTCACAGACCCGGGGTCCTCAGAGGCCCAGCCCACACCTCCCCAGCTTCCCCTCCCCCATGCACATTCATCTCTCCTGGGGCCCGAGGAGCAGCACCACACAGCCACAGCCACAGCCACACATGGTTTCATCCACAAACTGTGCCATGGGTTTTGTGTCGTAATCACCTCTGTCCCAACAGACAGGACCCAGCACTGGGCCTGGCGCTCAGAAGATGCCCAGCATTTGTAGACTGGCTGCAAGGTACCAGACTCAGCGCTCGCGGTGGCCCCTCCCACAGGCCACCCCACTCCTCTCCCAGCCCTCCGTTTCTCTCCCTCACCATGGCATTCACTCAACATGCCTTCAACAGCCCAGGTTGCTGGGGCAGAAAGACACATAACAGAGGGCTCTAAAACAATAGGTACGTGCAATGGCAGCGACAGGTACAGGGTGCTTGGGACCTCAAATGAAAGGCATTTGGACCAGGGGCTTCAGTGGAGGTGGAGACAATGGATGTGACTTGGAGGATGGGTAGGGATCAATCGGAAGAAAAGGACTGTGAAAAGCATTCCTGGCAGGAGATTCCTTATTAACAAAGCTGCCCCCTGCTCCCCGTCTCCACCATGCACCAGGCCTGTTGAGGGTGGCCTCCGCCCCACACACGCGCACACGCTTACATGCGCACACATACCGTATGTAGGTTTCATTGCGGTTGTACTTCCTGGCCAGGTACCGGGCTGAGCCCCTGTTGGGGATCCTGACCATGGAGATCTCTTTCCCGTAGCGGGTCAGGTTGCAAGGAGTAGGACAGAAACACGGGCCCTCGGAGCCCCCACCCAGGGAGTCTGCAACACAGAGGCACCAGCTGCAGTGGGGGCGGGCAGAGGCCTGGGTGGCCCAGAGGCCCACCAGCTGCAGAGGCTGTCCTGAGGCAGCCACGTCCGCGCTGAGGGCCTTGGCTGTCCTCTGGGCCTGGCACTGCCCAGAGGACACGGGATGGGGGTCCCATCCTGGACCAGCTCCAGACTATCCAAGACAGCAGGTGAGGCTCCCAGGCACCCTCCCACAGGCTTGTCCCTCTGTCCCCCAGCTCCCTGGTGCAGGAGGTCCTCATGGCTCAGAGGGAGGGCCTGGCCCATCCACCAGAGCTGATCAAACACATGAGGCCTCAGACACACCGAGGGACCTGGAGTGAAGGCCAGGATGAATGGGTGGATAGGTGAGTGGTTGGATGGACAGAGGGACAGACAGACAGACAAAAGAACAAGTGGATGGATAGGATTTGTATGCTCAGTATGCTGGGTTTTCTCTGTTGAGCCCTTCAGATCCACCCTCCGTTCTCCTCCACCTTTCTCTGTGGCCAGGAGGCTGAGCTCGGCCAAATATATCACCTAGACCCCCCTCGTCTTCCACCTTGGGGCTGGGTTTGGCCAGTGGGAGCTCCCAGCAGGGTCAGAAGGCAAGGAGGGGAGAGATGCCAGGGTGTTTCTTTTTCCTGGCTTCCTTACTGCCAGGCCGCAGCTGGCAGAGGCTTCATCCCTCCTCCCGTGCCCACAGCTCCTGTCCGTTGGCCCTCTCGGACAACCAGTGCTCTCTCTGGGCTCCAACGTGGGTTCCTTCCTGCCCCCACCCAGGCCTGGGGGAGTAAAGCCCCCCAATGTTGCTGGTTCTGAGGAGCCTCGCCACCCCTTGTGGTTCACTGGTCCGTGCTCGCACATCTGTTCCTTCACTAGGCACTCTGCGATCGCCTCTTGGATTGGCACAGCTGGTGCACAGAACAGAAGGTCCCCATGTGAGTCCATGGCCCCGGCACCTCCTCCCACGGCTCCATCATCTGGATCATTGCACTGCTCTTCTTACCAGCCACCCTGCTTCTGGCCTCGCTCCCCACCTGTCCATCCTCCACCTCTAATCAGAGTCACCCTCCTAACATCAGAGAGTGCTCTTGCCATGCCTTGAGCCACTGTTGGCTTCCCAGAGCCTCCTCTACTCTTTCCCCTCCCCCCGCCACCCGCAGGCTTCTGCTCCCCCTCCTGTGTTCTCTGCCCTCGGCACTCTGATCTTGCAGTGTGCTAGACACACACTCCCTGGCCACAGGGTCTTTAGCATGCGCTGTTCTCACTGTCTAGAACACACCCCCGTTTCACCTGGGTGACTCTGTCCCTTCTAGGAATCCTCCCTGCCAAGCCAGGTCCCCACCGCGGGGCCTTGCAGGACCCCTGAGTTTCCCCTGTGTGAGAACTAACACAGTGTGTTGTCACGCCTATCCACGGCCATGCCCAGCAGTGAGCTCCACAGGACCAGAGCTCTTGTTCCCCCTCTCACCTCCTGCACCCACACGGGCTGTGAGCGCCTGGAGAATGGATGGATGGATGGATGAATGAATGAATGAGTAAATGAACTGCAGGTCAGACAGGACCTGTGGACAGATGGCGTCTGCCTTCCCCACACTGAGAGCCAGCGATGCATTTTTCCTCACACCAAGAGAGCAGTCGTTTCACTTCCCCAGAAAGGCAAGCTCATTTGCTGACCCAAGACAGGAAGCCTGGATTCTCTGCAACCCCTCACCCCCTGCTGCCTCCACTTACCCAAATGTCCACACCCGCCAAGGTCTTCAGACCCCTGGAGGTATGGGATAAGTCTCAACCCCCAGGAAGAGCCCCCCGGGGAAAGGCTGGGGGGAGGAGAGCCCAGGCAGTTAGGAGGAGGGCAGACAGAGAGGTGAGGAGGAGGGTGGTGGAGAGGCGGAAGGGGAGCAGGCAGCACGGACCCAGGGTGTGGTCGGCACACTCAATGTAGATATTTGGTGGGCAGATGGTCTCGTTGCCTAAAAGGAGAGAAGATTATTCCTGGAGGCGAGGGTTCCATCCCCAGTCTCCACCACATTCCCAATGTGGGCACACTCGTGCTCGCACACACACATACCCAAAATAGGCATGTTTGCACATACACATGCAGGCATGGCTGTATACATGCTCATGGATATAAACACAAAAGTGTACACCTGCAAACATATGCATATGCACGTGTTCAAGCACATGCACGCAACCCCCACAAGCACACAGGTACAGAAGTACATGAGCATGTGTATGCATAAATGCATATTACTATGCATGTGTGCATCCCACATGCACATGTTAAAACATGCATAAAATCCCACGCATATGGATGCAAACGTGCACACATGTTGCACACATGCGCCTGCCCATGCACATGAGCAATGCTCTGCTCCTGGAGGTTCCGGAGCCTGGCAGGGTGGTCCAGCAGGTCAGTGGGGAGGTGGGGTGCCCACCTGGCATGTGCACCATTCGGCAGTGGCAGCGCTGAAGCACGGCCTCCTTCTCACAGCGCAGCCGGCAAGCAGACACACTGTAGGCTGAGTAGCCCTGAAGCTCAGGCTCCCTGAGCCCACTCTCCGCCCGGCAGTTGCCCCAGGGCTGAGGCAGGTAGGTCAGCTGCAGAGGTGGGCATGACGGGGTGGGTCATGCCCAGGAGTCCCACCCAGACCTCCAGTGCCCACAGCCCCAAGCAAAGTCCATGGGCAGACTGATGGGCTGTGAGCTTTGGGAAGAAGGTCTGGTCAGCATCCCCGCTAAGCCCAAAGGCTCTGCCCCGTGCCCAACCCAACGCCCAGCTGGAGGTGTTCACCCGCTGTTCCTGGCAGGACACGAAGGTCTGGAAGCCTGGGGACACGCCGAAGCCCAGCTGGTGGATGTAGGGTGGCTCCTCCTGGCTGTGGATCTGCACTCGGATGCCAGCCTCAAACGACGTCTCATCTGCACGGCGGAGACAGGGAGCTCTCAAAAGCCATCCCCGGCAGGTGGTCCAGGCCAGAGCCCCCAGGTTGGCCCTGTCCCTGCCCCACCTACGTACTTGTCTCTCTCCAGATGGGCAGGTACTCCTCCTGCTGGATGTCCAGCATGATCTCCAGGCCACTGCCCATGCCCCCCGCCCGGCTGGGAAGGGAGCTTTGTGGGTCCGCGTTGAAAGTGTAACACTTCCCATAGCGAGTATAGACCTGGCAGGGGAGGGGAGGGAGGGAGAGAGAAGAGAAGGGGAGAGGGAAGGAGAGGCTAAGACAACTCCTTATGCTTAGGGTTCCCTGTCTCCCCACCCCCTGCCAGGGTCACCAGACCTGCCTGGGCAGCCCTGTCCCATATTCCAGCAATCAATCTACAGCCCAGCCTCTCACCTGAGCTCCACCTCTTCTGCTGACATCCTCCCTTAGATGATCAAAAGGCATCTGCAGCTTAACAAATCAACAGCAGACTCTGGACATCGTCCCCAATCCCGGCCCCGCACACACACTCTTCTCCTCCTCTGCATCAGGGCCTCTGCTGTCTACGAAATCGCTCAGGCCAGAATCCCTGAAACCTCCTCTCCCTCACCAGCAGCTTCTTGGGCAATTCTCTTCTGCAATCTATTTAGAATTTACCCACTTTCCTTCCACATTGCATCCCCCTTTCTGCCGTCATCTCCCTCCCACCTGGCCACGGCAGTTCGCTCCTAGCCAGTTTCCCTCCCTCCATCCTCAGCTCTGCCTCCAGGCCATTCACACAGCAGCCGGAGCTCCTTCCAACCAAGCGACCAAGTGGCTTAAAGCCCCCAAAACGGCGACAACGGCTTTCCATTTCCTGCAGAATAAAGCCAGACTCCTTCCCTAGCCTGAAAGTCACCATGGAAGGCGACCCTTGCCAATCTCTCCTGCCACTCGACCCCCAGACAAATCTCTGACAAATTGAAACTCGTGTGCCTTCCTTCCTCGGACCTTGGCTCAGGCAGGCCCCTCTTCTGGAATGCCTCCCCTCCCGTTTTGGTGAGGTTCGCTCACTGTTCGTCTCTCAAACCTCAGCTGAGGTTTTCTTTCCTCATATGCACACTCATACACCACACACGTTCCCAGTTTCACCCCCCAGCCGGCAATCAGCCTGTTTGTTGGCTAGCTTTAAGTGCTGGTCAAGGCCCAAAAGCAGCCCTGGCTGGTGTGGCTCAGTGGGTTGAGCACCAGCCTGCAAACCCAAAGGCCACAGGTTCAATTCCCAGTCAGGGCACATGCTCGGGTTGCAGGCCGGGTCCCTGGTTGGGGGCATGTGAGAGGCAGCCAACCATGTTTCTCTCACACATCAGTGTTTCTCTCCCTCTCTTTTTCTCCCTCCCTTCCCCTCTCTCCAAAAAATAAATACAATCTTTTAAAAATAAAAAGACCTGAATCGACATTGTTTATCTGTCTGTCTCCTAGTAGTTCAATGTTCCTCTTTCCCCCGCCAACAGAGTTTGTGCTGCACAGGACCAGTGACCCTGTCTGGTGTCCCCAGCACCCAGCCCAGCACACCCGGAACGCAAAGGACCAAATCAGCAGTTGCTGTTTCTGCAGCGCAGAACGAAGCCGGTCTTCGACCCGGCGGAGAGCTCCCCGGCACAGACACAAGAGGGCGCTGGCGCCTCGGGGATGGAGGCCGAGGCCGGCGGGGCGCAGCTGAGGTGGGGATTTGTGGCAGCAGCTGGGTGGGAGGAGGTTGAGGGAGAGGCAGACGCCAGTGTCCCCTGCCAGGCTCGCCCCACAGAGACAAGCCCCCGTGTCAAAGCCATCACAGGCAGCACCATCCCTGGGGGCCAGGGGTCAGTGCACTCAATCACTCTCTCTCGCTCCCCCTCCCCCTCCCCTTTCCTTGGGAACATATTTACACTGGCAAAAACTGGGAGGAAAGGCTTGAGGCATGTTAGGGAAAAGCTACCCTAAATGCCTAGCTTCAGAGGAGCAGTGTAGAAGGCAAAGGGGCTGGGTTGAGGGCAGTGGGAGTGAGCAGTTCTAAGAACTGGGGGGCTGGGGGCACCCACGTTGTAGGGTGAGGTTAGGTCCCCCATCCTCACTGGGTTAACAACCCTGCTGAGCCTCCCCTCTCACATGGTTCTTCTAACACCCTGACACCCTGCCTCGGGTTCCTAAAACAAACACGCACCCTGCGGTTTACAGAACACGGCAACATCTACCGCTGCCCCGTTTCATCCCCTCGGCAACCCTGGTGTTGGGTAGGTGGAGTTAACCGGATTATTACCCAAGGGCCACACCACTAGTCAGTGGGAGAGACGTGATTCATCTAGACCCAAGACTCTACCTGTTCTGGGGAGGTGCCCCCCCATCCGCCCAAGCCCCAGCTCCTGCTCCAGCCCCACTCAGCTGTGATGTGACCCACGACCACCACCCCCTCGTCTCCTGTCCCTCCTTCCTGTCCGCTCCACTCCTCTCCACACCTTCCTCACTCTTTCTTCTCCATGTCTGCTGCTCTCGATCCCTCACCTCCCCTCCTGTCCCTCCCTTCCTGCTTCGGCATCCTCACCCCCTTCTGGCTTCCGGTTCTTAACTCCGTTTCACCCGTGGCCAGCTCCCTGCTGTGTGTGTGTGTGTGTGAGTGTGGGTCAGCAGTAGGCACCATGGACAGCCCAGCACACTCTCTCTGGCCCAGGCACTGCGCTAAATGCTTAACATACTCGCTCCAGTTGCACCCTCACAACCACCCTACCTCTGACTGAGGAGGAACTGAGACTCAGGGAGGTAAGCTGATCTGCCCAGGTCTCCAAGGTCCGTGCTCTGCAGACTTTGGTGTGCTGATGTGCGCACAAAGCACCTGGGGATCTTGTTAATGCAGAGTCTGGGTGTGTTAAATGCACTGGGGGCAGGGGCAGGACTCAGAGTCCGCATTTCCAACCACCTGCAGGTTGCACTTTGAGTGGAAAGGCCCTAGATGGAGTGGGGAGAGTCCAGCTAGACCCGTGTTCTCCCTGGAGAGAGGGGGACCCTGACACTGGGTGCAAGATTTCTGTGTCTCCAGTGGTGCAGGAAAGGCAGAAGGGAATATGTAAGTATTTGCCTCAATTTTCAAAGCACCCACCCTCTTCCTATTCCCAGCCAAGATGTTGGAATCTGCTTTCGCTGATGCAGCCCGTTTTGCGTGAATGCTCCAGTTGAGAGGTTAAGCAAGGCATGAGCTGCAGGGGGGACCAGGGTGGTGAGCTGCTCACTCGTGTGCCCCAGCGTGCTGGATCACGGCAGCAGAGCCCTGCCTGTCGGCAACTCCTGGTGTTTTCACAGCTCGATCTCATCCACAGGACGGTGGACCGCCTGAGGCCAGGAGCCCCATGTTGCCATCTCGGCACCCCCAGAGCCCAGTGCAGTTCGCAGAAGGAGGCCTGAGGCAGAGGGAAGGAGTGCAAAGTGAGCGCTGCCAAATGCCCCAGCTTCGTACCAGGTCCCGTGTTACGGGCCTGTGGTCTGTTTTCCCCTGCGGGCCTCTAAGACGACCACGTGAGCTAAGCAAGTAGCATGGCCTCCATCCGATGATGAAGAACCTTAGAGATGCAAAGTGGCTTGGCTAAGGACACACGGCCAGTGAATGAGACTCAAACAGAATAGAGCCCGATGCCGAAACGGTGCTTCCCAGTCATCTGGCAGTGTTCCCGGAATGAGCGGCTCGGGTGGATTCCTCACCCGCCGTGGGTTTGGGGCAGCCTCCCTGCCTGAGGTCCCCAACAGGTACACGCAGACGCACACTGCACGGCACGGAGCCCAGCGCTGGGCAGGGCCAGGCCAATGGGGACGGCTTTAGCTCTCACGGCTTTGGAGGAGAGCGGGTATGTGGCACCCCAGCCTAGAGGCGGCTGTGACAAAGGAGGATGGGTGGGAGGACTTTGGGTCCAATGGGTGTAGTTGTCAGGAAATGGACAGGCCAAACTGGCGGGGCCAGGCCACCTGCACAGCCCGGGTCAGGCCCAACTGCTGGGCAGAGCAGAACGTTGCTCTGGAGACGGTCCCCGGGCCAGGCAGGCAGTGGCAGGTGGAGCCGCCAGCTCCTAAGTGGCAGAATATTTGTGGCAGCACAGCCCACAGCTTCTTCCATGGAGACGGCACGACCGCTCAGCCAGAGGGTCCCACTGGCTGGCCACTGCTCTGTCCCCACGGACTGGCCCGAAAGGAGGGTGTGTGCACAGGAGGTGAGAGTCCGAGGCTCGGCCACGCAAAGGGGCAGGTTCCGGGCCAGGATGTGCACTGATGGGTTGAGGGGCTGTCTCCAGACCACCCACCACCAGCCCTCAGCCCCAGACCCTGTCCACACCTCAGGCCCCGCCTCCTCCTTCAGCCTGGCCCTCCCTCTTCCGTGCCCTTCCTTGCTCTCTGCCTCGGTTTCCAAGCCCACCCCCCTGGTTCCAGGCTGAGGCACAGGGCCTCCCAGACCCCTTCTGAACCTACGCTGGACAGCTGCTTGACGAGAATCTGTCTGCGCTTCGTGAAGACCCTGGGGCCTCTCCACCGCCTTCCTTCCGGCCAGCCTCTGCCTGTCCCTCCCGGACTGGCCCCCCTTTAGGGTTAGCCTGGACCTGCTCTGGGTCGGTCTGTCTCCCAGCCTCTGTCCCCTGATCTCGGTCTCTCTCTCAAGTCCCTCCTCCGGGCCTGTCTGTCCTCAGCATCCAATCAATTATCCCTCTGGTCTCTGTTTCTCTGCCTCTTGCTTTTGGTCAGCCTGTCCATCCCCCCGGCCTCTGTTGTCCTGGCTCCCACCCCACCCCATGTTCCTCTGCTCTCTGCACCCCCATCTTGTTTGCTCTCCTCTCCGTCCCTCAGTCCAGCTGTCTGGTCTCTATCTCTCGTCTTCCTCTTAGATTCTTCCCTGGCCCTGACGCTGCTCCCCCTGTCCGAGCTAGACACCCTCCCCTGGTGCCCTCCCCTCCTCCACCCTGCCATTCCTCCAGGTCTGCCCCAGATAACGACCAGGGGGGTCGAGAGGGACCCAAACTTGTGGCTTTTCTGTCCTTTGAGTCTCATCTACCCACAGCCTCCATTTCCTCTGGCTGGCTTGCCTGCGTTGTCTCCCACCCTTCCCCACCCCCTCCTCCTCCCTGTAGCCACAGAGCCCATGGGGTTAACAGGCAATTAGCAGGTCCAGGGCTCAAAGCTGTGAGAGAGAGGGCCCAGCCTCCAGGAGATAAGGAGCCGCCAGGAGCAGTGGAGGCTGGGCTAATCCC